GTCTGTCCTCCGTCCGTCGGGGGTGAGTGTGCTCTTGGCACGGACGTCCTAGAGGACAGGCAGGAGGAGTTACAGTGTCTAGCGGCTGCTTCACCTCATCTCGCGTCTGTACTGCTTGCCCCTGAGGGAGACCCGGATGCACTAGACATCCCGACTCCGCGTTCTTACGCGGAGGCCGTAGAGGGTCCCTACTCCTCTCAGTGGCAGGCAGCTATGGATGCAGAGATGGCTTCCTGGAAGTCCACAGGCACCTACGTTGACGCGGTTCCCCCTCCTGGGGCGAACATCGTCAGTGGCATGTGGATCTTCAGGGTGAAGCGGCCGCCGGGCTCTCCACCTGTCTTCAAGGCACGGTACGTTGCTCGTGGCTTCAGTCAGCGGCAGGGAGTTGACTACTTTCAGACCTTCTCTCCCACCCCGAAGATGACTACTCTTCGGGTGCTGCTGCACATAGCCGCTCAGCGCGACTACGAGCTTCACTCTCTCGACTTCAGCATTGCGTTCTTGCAGGGTAGCCTGAAAGAGGAGATCTGGCTTCGCCGTCCACCTGGCTTCACTGGGACTTTCCCTCCTGGCACCCAGTGGAGCCTCCGACGGCCAGTCTACGGTCTCCGTCAGGCACCGCGTGAGTGGCACGACACACTGAGGACTACGCTTGCGGCTCTTGGGTTTGCTCCTTCTACTGCTGACCCGTCGCTGTTTCTTCGCACCGACACTTCCCTGCCGCCGTTCTACATCCTCGTGTACGTCGACGACTTGGTCTTTGCCACAGCGGACACTGCTGGACTCGCCTACGTGAAGTCCGAGCTGCTGAAGAGACACACGTGCACAGACCTGGGTGAACTGCGCAGCTACCTTGGTTTGCAGATCACTCGGGACAGAGCACGCCGCACCATTACCTTGACTCAGTCACACATGGTGCAGCAGGTCCTTCAGCGCTTCGGCTTCACGTACTCCTCGCCTCAGGCCACTCCTCTGCCTACTCGCCACTCACTCTCAGCTCTGCCTTCGGATGAGTCCGTAGAGTCGAGTGGCCCGTATGCAGAGCTTGTTGGCTGCCTCATGTACCTGATGACCTGCACACGAACTGACCTTGCATACCCTCTGAGCATTCTTGCTCGTTATGTTGCTCCTGGGAGACACAGACCAGAGCACATGGCTGCAGCGAAGAGGGTATTGCGCTACCTGTGCAGCACGTCGGGCATGGGGCTAGTGCTTGGAGGGCGGAGTCCAGTGGTCCTTACCGGCCACGCGGACGCTTCTTGGGCTGACGACCAGGCTACGCAGCGGTCGTCACAGGGTTACACCTTCAGCCTTGGTTCCGGCTCTGTCTCGTGGCGGTCTACTCGCTCGTCTTCGGTTCTCGGCTCCAGTTGTGAGGCTGAGATCTACGCCGGGGCCATGGCTGCACAGGAGCTTCGCTGGCTCACCTACCTGCTGACTGACCTTGGAGAGCCGCCTCGTTCTCCTCCAGTGCTGTACGTAGACAACAAGGCCATGCTGGCCTTGTGTCGAGAGCAGCGCTTGGAGCACAGAACGAAGCACATTGCTCTCCGCTACTTCCTTGCTCGTGAGCTGCAGCTGCGTGGTCAGTTGCGACTTGCGTACGTGGCCTCTGAGGCCAACACTGCTGATGTGTTCACCAAGGCACTCGCGCCTTGTGACCATCAGCGCTTTTGCACCCAGCTGGGTCTTGTGCCTGTCTTGCCTCACTTGCTCTCCTCTTGACTTCACTTGTACTGTTACATATATTTATACCTGCTCTTGCTTGTCTAGTTATATATATATATGTCTGTACTCCTGCATGTGAACTGGCCTCTGGCCCTGCTCTTGTGCTCGGACTGTGTGGTGACGTTGTGATCCACCCTGAGCTTGCTCTGCTTTGCTTTACCTGACTGGTCTTGTGACCCCTTGTTCTCCCCCACTTTGCCTATGGGGGTGTGTCAGATTTATATGACATAGTTTCTGTAGGCTATAGTGGGGTAGCACATATGGGGTACAGGGTTTCTAGGGTTGCATTTGTACCCAATCTTCCATAATCATTTCATTTTCCTGTTTTCCTTGTTTCACAAGGACTACATTCGGCTCTTGGCTTTGCTCCCTCTACTGCCGACCCGTCGCTGTTTCTGCGCACCGACACTTCTTTGCCGTCGTTCTACATCCTCATGTACGTCGATGACTTGGTCTTTGCCACAGCTGACACTGCTGGACTCGCCCACGTGAAGTCCGAGCTGTAGAAGAGACAAACTTGCATAGACCTGGGTGAACTGCGCAGCTACCTTGGCTTGCAGATCACCCGGGACAGAGCACGCCGCACCATTACTTTGACTCAGTCACACATGGTGCAGCAGGTCCTTCAGCGCTTCGGCTTCACGTACTCCTCGCCTCAGGCCACTCCTCTGTCTACTCGCCAGTCGCTCTCAGCTCTGCCTTTGGATGAGTCCGTAGAGTCGAGTGGCCCGTACCCAGAGCTTGTTGGCTGCCTCATGTACCTGATGACCTGCACACGACCTGACCTTGCATACCCTCTTAGCATTCTCGCACGCTATGTTGCTCCTGGGAGACACAGACCGGAGCACATGGCTGCAGCGAAGAGGGTGTTGCGCTACTAGTGCAGTACGTCGGGCATGGGGCTTGTGCTTGGAGGGCAGAGTCCAGTGGTCCTCACTGGGCACGCAGACGCTTCTTGGGCTGAGGACCAGGCTAAGCAGCGGTCGTCACAGGGTTACACCTTCAGCCTTGGTTTCGGCTGTGTTTCATGGCGGGCTACCCACTCGTCTTCTGTTCTTGGCTCCAGTTGTGAGGCTGAGATCTACGCAGGGGTCATGGCTGCACAGGAGCTTCGCTGGCTCACCTACCTGCTGACTGACCTTGGAGAGCCGCCTCGTTCTCCTCCAGTGCTGTACGTAGACAACAAGGCCATGCTTGCCTTGTGTTGGGAGCAGAGACTGGAGCACAGAACAAAGCACATTGCTCTTCGCTACTTCCTTGCTCGTGAGCTATAGCAGCGTGGTCAGCTGCGCCTTGCGTACGTAGCCTCTCAAGCCAACACCGCAGATATCTTCACCAAGACACTTGCGCCTTGTGATCATCAGCGCTTCTGTACTCAGGTGGGTCTTGTGCCTACCTTGCCTTACTTGCTCACCCCTTGACCTTGTTTGTACTGTTACATATGTATATACACCTGCTCTTGCTTGTCTAGCCTTATATATATATGTAATCCTGCATGTGAACTGGCCTTATGGCCTTGAACTTGTGCTCGGAATTTGTGGTGACTTTGTGATCCACCCTGAGCTTGCTTTGCTTTGCTTGACTGGTCTTGTGACCCCTTGTTCTCCCCCACTTTACATATGGGGGTGTGTCAGATTTATATGACTTAGCTGCTGTAGGCTATAGTGGGGTAGCACATATGGGGTACAGCTTTCTAGGGTTTGTACTTGTACCCAACTTTCCCTTAGTCATTCCTTTCCTCGTTTCTTCTCAGGCGAAGTAATTGGCGACTACATCAGGCATGGGGCTTGTGCTTGGAGGGACTCAGCCAGTGGCGTTGACTGGTTACTGCGACTCTTCCTACGTTGACGACGTGGAGACTCAGCGCTCGACTCAGGGTTATCGCTTCAGTCTGGGAGCTGGTGTTGTGTCGTGGAGGTCTACACGGTCGTCGTCTGTGGCTACTTCAAGTGCAGAGGCAGAGATCTACGCTGGTGCCATGGCGGCACAGGAGCTTCGCTGGTTGACCTTCTTACTCGCCGACCTTGGTGAGCGGCCTCGCTCTGCACCGACCTTATACGCTGACAACAAGGCCATGATCCTCCTATGTCGAGAGCCTCGATTGGAGAGCAGAGTGAAGCATATTGACGTGAGGTACTTCCTCCTGCGAGAGCTGCAGCGACGCGGCCAGGCACGCATGGACTTTGTGGCCTTAGAGGCCGACACTGCAGACGTCTTCACCAAGGCATTGGCGCTTGGTGATCACCACAGGTTCTGTGTGCAGTTGGGGCTTGTTGAGGTAGGCCCTCGGTTGCTGTAGTCGTGTTGTTTGCTCTGCTTGTTGTGCTTCCTATTTATATCCTAGTGAACTCTTGAACTGGCCTTGTGGCCGCTTGCTTGCGCTCGGAATTTGTGTGGTGTCCTTGAGATCCACCCTGAGCTTGCCTTGTTTCTTGTTTTGACTGGTCTTGTGACCGTTTTGTTCACCTTGCTTGCTTTGATGCCCCTCACTTAGCCTATGGGGGTATGTCAAGTATAATTCTATGCTTGTAGGCTACAGTGAGTAGCACAATAGGGAGTACAGTTGTTAGGGTTGCATATTTGTACTCTCACACTTTCTAGTTTCCACCATTTCGTTGCATTCCTATTCTAAGAGATGCAACAATCGCGATTGGGGGGAGGTGACAAGATCGTGGTGCACCCGTTACTGTACATTCGTTAATTGTCTCGAAATAGGGTATCCGGGTAAACTGCAATGCTACAGTTTGACTGTAGCATGCCAAACATCGATCCTACGCAGGATCGATCGAGCTAGGTGACGCGTCCTAATGTTCTGCAGAGAAATACCATAGAAATGTTTTGCCTTGGCAAGGTAAACGTGAAACGCATTTTCTAATAATTGTGTACACAGGTATCAGACAAGGCCGCGGTGTAATTGGGACTGAACCACACGCACATTCGCTATTCCAACAATTTCTGAGGCCACGGTTTTATCGACAATCCACATCCCACTTTCACAAAGCCGTCTCTGAGCGTCAGCCTGACGCAAAGGCCAGGACTTGCCAGTGGTAGGATCCTAGGTGTCGTAGGAATTTGGAAGTCCATGAACGAACCAAACGACTAATTTATCCGCTTTAATTTTTACCATGTAGGCGATTAGGATTCACCTTTGAAGAGCTCTTGAAGCATAAGCTTCCGCGTGGCCTAGTTATGCCACCTATTTGGAATGTAAAAGCGAGTGAGGTGAAGGTCCTCCACTCGGCGTCGCGATCGGAAACCACGCGAGTATTATGTCGCATATTAATGGCCACGGAGCCAATGGGAATGTGTTCACTCGAGGCTTTTCGACTCACAATGACGCTGTTCCGTCGTATTCATATCCCTTAGGCGCAGCGAAAGCTACGACTACTGGATACCCTTTGAATCAGAATGAGTTCGCGGAGCCGAGTGATAGGGGTTTTGATGGAGGAAACGGCATGGGAGGAGGAGGCGGTGGAGGTGGAGGAAGAGGTAGAGTTTTCGGTGGCGAGGAAGAGAATAAGCAGCGGTTTGAGGCTCAGGGTCCGAGAGAATCAAGTCATTGCGTGGACGAAGGAGCAGCGGCCACGTGGATTTATCCTTGTAGGTTTGCCGACGGGATAGGCGGTTGGTAAACTAGCAGGCTCCTGCAGTCTACATGAAAGTTAGCATTGTACTATCCATTACCCCTAATTTGTGTCTGTTAATCTTCCTCGTAATCCTAAAGACATTTCCGAGCCAGCATTTTTCCTCCTCTATTGCAATTCACACTCTTTTCTTGTCTCCCTCGCAGCCAATCGCGAGCTTCGCCAGTACCAGTACGAAATCGCGGAGGCAGCTCTCTTCGCCAACACCCTGGTCTGCCTTCCAACAGGCGTGGGGAAAACCCTCATCGCCGCCGTTGTCATGGCCAATTACTACCGCTGGTTCCCGCACGGTCAGTGAATGCACACGCTGATTAGTGAGTGCTTCAGTGAATTAACATCAGTTAGATAATCAGGCGTCATAGCAGCTTTAAACCCTCATTGCCGCTGTTGTCATGGCTAATTACTACCGCTGGTTCCCACACGGTCAGTGAAAACACTGATAAGTGGACGCATCAATGCTGACCCACAGGTTTCACAGCAGCTAGTTGATTAGGCTTTTTAGCAGCTTTGAACCCTCATTGCCGCCGGTGCCAAAGTCAACTACTAACGCTGGTTCCTGCCCGGTCAGTAAATGCACACAATGGTCAGTGGATTTACCTATGCTGACCCACTGGTGTCGTCAGCTTTGAATTCTCACCTCAATGCCGCCGTTGTCATGGTCAATTACTGAGACTGGTTCCCGCACGGTCAGTACATACACTGATCAGTGGGTGCATCACTGCCAAACCACACATTTCACAGCAGCTAGTTGATCAGGCTTAAGAACAGCGACCCTCATTTACGCCGTTGTTAAGGTCAACTGCTACTGCTGGTTCCCGCATGGTCAGTCATTCTGACCACTACACACTACTGGCTGACAGGATTTATAAATTAATTATTTTAGCAGCGTTTAGAGGCTGATGTGTTCTTCGCTCCATTCATGGTGGTGAACATGGCGGTTTCGCTCGAGTTTCAGACATGTCTCGGTTTCACTCTTAGTGCGCATCACATTGTTGCTACACTCACGTTTTTTTTCATTCCTCCATCGTCAATATGTTTGCATCCACGCATGCTGGTCTTTGTGCATGTGTGCACGCATGTGGTCTCGGTGCATGTGTGTGTGCGTGTGGCTATGATGCATGCATGCATGCGCTGCTGCATCATCATCAGGCAAGATCGTGTTCATGGCTCCCACGCGTCCCTTGGTGCTGCAGCAGATCCGAGCATGTCATAACGTCGTCGCCATCCCACAGGTACGACCGCTTGTTGCTGTAGAAGAATTACCATTTACCTGATCATCTCCATTCCTCCCATTTTTCTAATTAGTTAAATCTCGAGCTTTAGGCAAGATGAGTTTGTAGTCTAGATTGTCAGTTTGGTACCTTCAGGTGATTCAGTGAGTCCAGTCCAGTCTATGTTCATGCGAGACAAGGTCCTTTGTTTTTCGCTTCTCATTCCCTTGTGCATCCCCGTTTACTCTTCCACTTATCTTGCTGCAAACTTCTATTTTCCGTTCAGGAACACACAAGGCACATGACAGGGTAGAAGCCCTGGGGGAGCACTAGTTGGGAGGGAGCAGAACCATTGTTTCGTATCCTTCGATTTCCTTCTCGTCTCACGTTTTCTCTTAGGAGCACTCTATGCACATAACAGGGCAGATGGCGCGGGAGCAGCGGGCGCAGCACTGGAGGGAGTAAAGGTGCTCATTTCCGTTTTTTTCCTAGGAGCATACTCATTCACTGCCCCCTCCACTACCCCCCAGGAGCACACGATGCACATGACGGGGCAGATGGCGCGGGAGCAGAGGGCGCAACATTGGAGGGAGCGGCGCGTGTTCTTTGTCACAGGGCAGGTGCTGCTGCAGGACATGGTGCAGTGGGGTGAGTGGTGGTGCGGAGTGGTGACTGGTGCAAAGGACATGGTGCACTGGGGTGAGGGGTGCAAAGGGCGTTTTGTGGTATGCACTGTTGCAGTGCATAATCACGTTCACAGTGGAATGCGGTGACGCACGGTACAGCACACGGTGCATGTGTTGTGGATAAGCCAAGGCATCTTGTGCCTGAACTGACTTTTCAAGTGGGTTGATTCCGCCTGTTTATGTGCAGCTGCTTGTCTGGGTAGTTAGTTGTTGTATTGTATACAGTGTATTGTGTCTGGTGGTGGTGGATGAAGCCCCAACACGTTTGAAGACCTGAATCAAAAAGAGTCACAACTTAGCCGGAATCTCTCATCACCTGTTGTGTCTGGTGGTGGATGAGGCCCATCACTCTACAAAGCTGGAATTAAAGAGCCGGAATCCATGGTCTCATGCTCCATTATCCGATGCCCCCATGCACAGGTGCCTGTCCGCGTGAGGCCATAGTGTGTCTGGTTGTGGACGAGGCCCACCGTGCTACGGGCAACTATGCTTATGCACGTGTCGTGGAGGAGGTGAGATGAGGGGAGTGTGCGGTGGGGTGGGGTGGGGGGACTTCTGGGTTTGAAGTCCCCAAAACTGTCGGTGGGCAACTATGCGTATGCACGCGTGGTGGAGGAGGTGAGATGAGGGGAGTGTGCGGTGGGGTGGTGTGGGGGTATGGGTGGTGGGATGAGTGGGATGAGTGGGTGGGTGGTGGAACCGTTGAGCATCCTTCTCATCATGCGCATCGTGCAATCAGGCTCCCTTCAGCTCCTCTCGTTTCATCAGCACATCCTTTTCTCTTGTGCATCTCTCTCATCTCATTCCCATTCCATCGTTGTGCCTCAGCCTCCTCTTCTTTTCACCTCTCTTTTTGCCGGTCTTGTTCCCCCCCTTGCTCCACCGCTCCCTGCCCCTGCTTCTCCTGCTGCCGCTCTCCCTCATGGCAGCTCCACAAAGCCGGTGTTGCGTTTCGAGTCCTTGCGTTGACTGCCACTCCTGGATGTACGTTCCCCATGCATGCTCTCCTCGTTTCATCTCCTTGCCTACTTTTGAGACCTCTCAAAAGTCGTGAAGAGTCCTTGCGTTGACCGCCACTCCTGGATGTACGTTCCCCATGCACACTCTCCTCGTTTTATCTCCTTGCCTGGACTCTTTTCTCTCATCCACGTTCTCATGAATGACCAGGGCGTTTCCTTAATAACCCCACTACACCTCGTCCTGGGTCTCGCACTATCTGTCCACAGCACTAGAAACTCACTGGAATTGCCTCCACCACTGCTACTTTGTTCTGCTGCTTTCCACACCACCAGCCCAGCTGCCCAGGAGCAAGCTGGGAAATCAGTCATGCAGCATGCTCCATCGTGCTCCACTCTTCCTGCCGTTCCCTCTCCCTCCTGCGTGTCTCCAACCCAGCTGCCCAAGGTACAGGAGGTGGGGAACAAGCTGGGCATATCAGTCATGCAGCACAGCTCCACTGTGCCCCGCTCCTCCCCTCTTCCCTCTCCTCTCTCCCCTCCCCCTTCTCCGTGCCACCAGCCCAGCTGCCCAAGGTGCAAGAGGTGGTGGAAAAGCTGGGCATATCACTCATGAACCGCTGCCCTGCTATGCTGTGCCGTCAACTCTACCAATTTCCCCTTGCTCTCCCCTCTACCTCCTCAATGCCACCAGCCCAGCTGCCCAAGGTGCAAGAGGTGGTGGAAAAGCTGGGCATATCACTCATGGACCGCTGCCCTGCTATGCTGTGCCGTCAACTCTACCAATTTCCCCTTGCTCTCCCCTCGACCTCCTCAATGCCACCAGCCCAGCTGCCCAAGGTGCAAGAGGTGGTGGAAAAGCTGGGCATATCACTCATGGACCGCTGCCCTGCTATGCTGTGCCGTCAACTCTACCAACTTCCCCTTGCTCTCCCCTCTACCTCCTCAATGCCACCAGCCCAGCTGCCCAAGGTGCAAGAGGTGGTGGAAAAGCTGGGCATATCACTCATGGACCGCTGCCCTGCTATGCTGTGCCGCTCTATCAACTTCCCCTTGCTCTCCCCTCTACCTCCTCAATGCCACCAGCCCAGCTGCCCAAGGTGCAAGAGGTGGTGGAAAAGCTGGGCATATCACTCATGGACCGCTGCCCTGCTATGCTGTGCCGTCAACTCTATCAACTTCCCCTTGCTCTCCCCTCTACCTCCTCAATGCCACCAGCCCAGCTGCCCAAGGTGCAAGAGGTGGTGGAAAAGCTGGGCATATCACTCATGGACCGCTGCCCTGCTATGCTGTGCCGTCAACTCTACCAATTTCCCCTTGCTCTCCCCTCTACCTCCTCAATGCCACCAGCCCAGCTGCCCAAGGTGCAAGAGGTGGTGGACAAGCTGGGATTGTCACCCATTGGTGCCTATAGGCATGCTGCAAACGAGAACGATTCCCCTCAATAACTTAGAAGTTAACTCTTCTTTCTTCTCCATATCGCCAGCCCAGCTGCCCAAGGTACAGGTGGTTGGTGGACAAGCTGGGCATATCGCTCATAGAGTACCGCACTGTTTTGCATTTGACACTACCACTTTCCCCTTGCTCTCCCCTCTACCTCCTCAATACCACCAGCCCAGCTGCCCAAGGTACAGGAGGTGGTGGACAAGCTGGGCATATCGCTCATAGAGTACCGGGGAGATGACGACCCGCAAGTCGCCCAGTACATGCACAAGCGCACCGAGCAAGTGGTCAAGGTACGCTGTGCATGTACGCTTGGTATGCTGTGTGTTTGTGGTGCTGTGTGTGTGCTGTTGGTATGGAGTGCCATGTACATGCTGCTGTGTGCTATACTGCGCTGCGCTGTGCTACACCACGCTGTACCTGTCTAGCGTACATCTGTACTCCTCCTGTTCATGCTGTTCAAATCGCCTCCCTTCAGGTGCGCATGCACACAGCAGTGGCAGAGGTGGAGAAGCTGCTGCTAGCGGAGCAGAGGAGGTGCCTGGAAGCCCTCAATCGCCTGGGCCTTGTGTCCTCAGCTCTCGTGTCTTCCAGCAAGGTCAGCTCAGTGTGTAATCGCATATGAGGGTGTAGGTGCACTTGGGTTGAATCAATCTTAGGGCGGTCATGCATGCACATGTGTATCTCAACATGGCCTTCCCCTGCGGCCGCTCTCCCTGTCGTTTTTCTCTCCCAGTCCCTGGGGTGTCAGCTTGTGTCATCCCACCACCGGTGGTTGGCTCAGCAGAAGCATGAAAGCAGTCGTATAGCGCCCCCCATCGCCGCCCCTCTTCCCTGCCATGTCACCAGGCCCTTCCCTCCCAGATGGTGTCCTCCCACCAGCCGCGCATGATCCAGGAGCAGCTCAAAGCCTTTCCGTTTGGCCCCTCTCCCCTGCCACCACGTCCTCCCCCCCAGATGGTGTCGTCCCACCAGCTGCGCATGATCCAGGAGCAGCGTGAAAGGAGTTGTCTCAGTCATCTCAAATCCTGCTTCTTTCCCCTCACACTATTTCTGTCCCCTGCCGTTACATCCCCCCGCAGATGGTGTCGTCCCACCAGCTGCGCATTATCCAGGAGCAGCGGGAGATCAGCCGTTCTCATCTCACCCACTCCCACTCGCCCTCCCTCTCCCCTGCCACCATGGCCCCCCCAGATGGTATCATCTCACCAGCTGCGCATGATCCAGGAGCAGCGGGAGATCAGCCGTCTGACTCTCCTACTCGTTACTCGTTCCCTCACTGCCCCTCTCCCTTCCTTCCAACTGCCCCTCTCAGATGGTATCATCTCACCAGCTGCGCATGATTCAGGAGCAGCGGGAGATCAGCCGGCAGCAGGAGGCAGCAGCGCGGGGCTTTGGGGCGGCGCCGATGGGTGGCAGGGAGGCGGCAGGGCAGATGTGGTGGTCACGGGCAGAGGCCGTGGGGGCTGCGTTAGAGAGGCTCATGTCGCATGGCATGCGCTCAGCACTGCACGTGATTGAGAGGAGCAGGTGAGTGATTGTGAGAACAAGCAGAAGGCATTGACCATCATGCCACGTCCCTTCAGACCCGCCTCTCATTACTTTCCACTCTACACCTTCCGTGTGTGATGAGTCGATTTTTTAGTCGACTCAAAGTTCGACCCATCATGCCACGTCCCTTCAGATCCACCTCTCATTACTTTCCATTCTACTCCTTCCGCACCCCGCACAGCACTCGTGTCCTCTCTTGCCCTTCCCCTCTCCTCCCCCGCAGGCCCCTGGCAGCAGTGGTGAGGGAACAGAACATGCACAAGGCGTTGACGATCATGCGTCGCACTGTGGGAGGGGGCGAGGGGGGAAAGGTCAGCAAGGGAAGGCAGGGCGGTGCCATGTCATCAGCTTCCACGTCAGCTGCCAGGGTTGGGCCCTCGTCCGCTGCAGCGGCTGCCATCTCCCCGAAGCTGGTGGAGTTGGAGAAGCTGCTGCTGCTGCACTTCAGGGAGGGTGGGTGATGGTGGGTGTCGGTGGGTGATGGTGGGTGTTGGTGGGTGTTGGTGGGAGTTGGTGGGTAAGGTTCTTGCGTCTCGAAATGTTGATTCGTGAGACGCTTCAATTCAAAGCATTGATCTTTGAGATGAATCGAAGCTGGTGGAGTTGGAGAAGCTGCTGCTGCTGCACTTCAGGGATGGTGGGTGTGTGTGGATGCGCGTGTGCGCTTGCCACGCTGCTGCACTTGAGTGAGGGTGGGTGAGCTTGGTTAGTGCTGCTGCTGTTTGTCCCTTCGTTGTTTGATGCTTCCGCAGCACTTGAATGCTTAGCACTGAGCAGCAGGGGGCTGCTGCTGCACACTCACCTGGGCATCTGCTCATCTGGGCTGCCGCTGCATACTCACCTGGGCATCTGCTCATCTGGGCTGCCGCTGCATACTCACCTGGGCATCTGCTCATCTGGGCTGCCGCTGCATACTCACCTGGGCATCTGCTCATCTGGGCTGCCACTGCATACTCACCTGGGCATCTGCTCATCTGGGCTGCCGCTGCTTACTCACCTGGGCATCTGCTCATCTGGGCTGCCGCTGCATACTCACCTGGGCATCTGCTCATCTGGGCTGCCGCTGCATACTCACCTGGGCATCTGCTCATCTGGGCTGCCGCTGCATACTCACCTGGGCATCTGCTCATCTGGGCTGCCGCTGCATACTCACCTGGGCATCTGCTCATCTGGGCTGCCGCTGCATACTCACCTGGGCATCTGCTCATCTGGGCTGCCGCTGCATACTCACCTGGGCATCTGCTCATCTGGGCTGCCGCTGCATACTCACCTGGGCATCTGCTCATCTGGGCTGCCACTGCATACTCACCTGGGCATCTGCTCATCTGGGCTGCCGCTGCATACTCACCTGGGCATCTGCTCATCTGGGCTGCCGCTGCATACTCACCTGGGCATCTGCTCATCTGGGCTGCCGCTGCATACTCACCTGGGCATCTGCTCATCTGGGCTGCCGCTGCATACTCACCTGGGCATCTGCTCATCTGGGCTGCCGCTGCATACTCACCTGGGCATCTGCTCATCTGGGCTGCCGCTGCATACTCACCTGGGCATCTGCTCATCTGGGCTGCCGCTGCATACTCACCTGGGCATCTGCTCATCTGGGCTGCCGCTGCATACTCACCTGGGCATCTGCTCATCTGGGCTGCCGCTGCATACTCACCTGGGCATCTGCTCATCTGGGCTGCCGCTGCATACTCACCTGGGCATCTGCTCATCTGGGCTGCCGCTGCATACTCACCTGGGCATCTGCTCATCTGGGCTGCCGCTGCATACTCACCTGGGCATCTGCTCATCTGGGCTGCCACTGCATACTCACCTGGGCATCTGCTCATCTGGGCTGCCGCTGCATACTCACCTGGGCATCTGCTCATCTGGGCTGCCGCTGCATACTCACCTGGGCATCTGCTCATCTGGGCTGCCGCTGCATACTCACCTGGGCATCTGCTCATCTGGGCTGCCACTGCATACTCACCTGGGCATCTGCTCATCTGGGCTGCCGCTGCATACTCACCTGGGCATCTGCTCATCTGGGCTGCCGCTGCATACTCACCTGGGCATCTGCTCATCTGGGCTGCCGCTGCATACTCACCTGGGCATCTGCTCATCTGGGCTGCCGCTGCATACTCACCTGGGCATCTGCTCATCTGGGCTGCCGCTGCATACTCACCTGGGCATCTGCTCATCTGGGCTGCCACTGCATACTCACCTGGGCATCTGCTCATCTGGGCTGCCGCTGCTTACTCACCTGGGCATCTGCTCATCTGGGCTGCCGCTGCATACTCACCTGGGCATCTGCTCATCTGGGCTGCCGCTGCATACTCACCTGGGCATCTGCTCATCTGGGCTGCCGCTGCATACTCACCTGGGCATCTGCTCATCTGGGCTGCCGCTGCATACTCACCTGGGCATCTGCTCATCTGGGCTGCCGCTGCATACTCACCTGGGCATCTGCTCATCTGGGCTGCCGCTGCATACTCACCTGGGCATCTGCTCATCTGGGCTGCCGCTGCATACTCACCTGGGCATCTGCTCATCTGGGCTGCCGCTGCATACTCACCTGGGCATCTGCTCATCTGGGCTGCCGCTGCATACTCACCTGGGCATCTGCTCATCTGGGCTGCCGCTGCATACTCACCTGGGCATCTGCTCATCTGGGCTGCCGCTGCATACTCACCTGGGCATCTGCTCATCTGGGCTGCCGCTGCATACTCACCTGGGCATCTGCTCATCTGGGCTGCCACTGCATACTCACCTGGGCATCTGCTCATCTGGGCTGCCGCTGCTTACTCACCTGGGCATCTGCTCATCTGGGCTGCCGCTGCATACTCACCTGGGCATCTGCTCATCTGGGCTGCCGCTGCATACTCACCTGGGCATCTGCTCATCTGGGCTGCCGCTGCATACTCACCTGCAGCTCAGGGCAGATGCCACCACACCACCAGGCCAATTATCCCTTTCTCCCCCCCCCTCGCTTCTTTTCCTCTCTCCCGTTCGTCCCTCCACCCAACACCCCCAGCCCAGCTGCGCAGCACAGGTGGCACGAGGGCCATCATCTTGTCCACCTTACGAGACAGTGTGCTGCCTCCTCAGTGATCCCCTCCTGGCCCCTGCTTCGTCTCGCCCATCTCATCCCCATTTCTCGCCCGTCTCATCCCCCTCCACCCATGCAGCCCAGCAGCGCAGCACAGGTGACACGAGGGCCATCATCTTTTCCACCTTTTTAAGATAGTGCCATATTACCTCAGGACACGAAGAGCAGTGAGTGAGTGATTGTATAAGGGGCCTCCTCAGTCATCCCCTCTTGCCCTCCCGTGACTTCTCCCCTTTCTTTTTTCTCTCCATCCACCCATGCAGCCCAGCAGCGTGGTACAGGTGACACGAGGGCCATCATCTTCTCCACCTTTCGGGACAGTGTGCAGTGAGTGTGACTGTAGCAGGTGTGGCTTTAGTGGATGACCAGAGCAGTGGATTAGTGTAGTGTGTGCATGTGTGTGTGTGTGTGTGCATGTGTGTGTGTGTGTGTGTGTGTGTGTGTTTGTAGTGCGTGTTTGTGTCTGTGAGCTGTGAGCAGCATTTGGTTTCTGTGGGTTGAAATGGCTACAGGATAGACAGTGTATGCAAGCAAGTGGTTGACTGTAGTTGGCAGTGAGTGAATGAGGCGATGCTATAGCGAGGACACTGTGACTGAGCATCTATTTTTGGCATGATAGTTACGCATGAAGATGAAATTCGTTGATGTACTTTCGCAAGGTCGCTGCTCACCTTTGTCTATCGAGCCCTGCTTCTATGATGTGCGTTCGAGACATGCCATGTTTTTAGGCACCTCAAAAGTCATCTTTTGAGGCGCCTCAAAGGTCGCTACTCACCTTTGTCTATCGAACCCTGTTTCCGTGATGTGCGCTCAAGACATGCCATTCTGCGTGTCTGTAATCATTTGTCATGTGTGCCTCGTTTTGATTGTCCATGGATGCAGGGAGATTGTGGAGTGCCTATCACAGCACGAGCCGCTGCTGCGAGTGAAGCAGTTCATCGGGCAGAGCCCAGGTATGGCAGGCAGGGCCCAGGTATGGCAGGCAGGGCCCAGGTATGGCAGGCAGGGCCCGGGTATGGCAGGCAGAGCCCAGGTACGGAGTGCAGGTACGGCGGGCAGTGCCAGGTACGGACGGCCCACTCTGGACTCATTCGCTTTTATCAACTACCTATGGTGTTCATTCATCTCTCGCTTGCAGCTGTTCGCTTACTCCGTCTTGCAAATGTCAAGTTCCCCGTCTCTCTCTCAGCAGCTGGCAAGTTGACTATCTCTCAGCAGCCAACAAGGTAACAGGGTAACCCTCTTTCTGCTGCACTGCAGGAGCAGACGTGCCTCAGAACCGGGCCAAGGGGTCTGCGCGCGCGAAGGGACTTCCACGGATAGGAGCAAGGGGAGGGGGAAGGGGAGGGCGTGGGGGAGGGCGCGGGAAAAGGGGAGAGGGAGGGCGAGAGGGAGGGAGGATGGGAGGAAAGGGGAGTGAGCGAGGGACTGGAGGAGGAGCAGCTTTGGATGGTTCGAACGGAAGTCTGGGGAAAATGAGGGGAGGGAGAGGCAATGCTGATGGTTGTGTGGTGAAGGGTGTGTGCGGGGAGGAGGATGGGGAGGAGGGATGGGACGCTGAGGGAGAGGTTTTAGGAGAGGGGAGTGGGCAAGAGGAACAAGAGAGGGCGGAAGTGGAAGGGGACGAGGGGGAGGAAGAAGCAGGGGAGGAGGAGGAAGGGGGTGATATGGAAGTGAGGAAGCGGCTGATGGGTCAGTCACAGAAGCAGCAGCAGGCGGTGCTGGATGTGAGTGTCTCAGCCTACAGCTTTACTTGAATTATTGTTGAGAAATTTCAAAAGTGATACAAGCAGCAGCAGGCGGTGCTGGATGTGAGTGTCTCAGCCTACAGCTTTACTTGAATTATTGTTGAGAAATTTCAAAAGTGATACAAGCAGCAGCAGGCGGTGCTGGATGTGAGTGTCTCAAGCCCACAGCTTTACTTATGTCACTTGTGGAAATTCTCAAATTTGATACAAGCAGCTGGTTGGTGGTGTTGGATGTGATGTGAGTGTCTCAAAGCCATGGCTTCTTCTTGTTCCTCCCATAACCACCCTCTTTATCGTTCCTCTGCTGTCTCTTGTTCCCCCTCGTCCCACTCGTGTCGCTCATCCCACTCACTTCTCTCGTCCCACTCGTTTCTCCCCCACCAGGGCTTCAAAGCAGGAACGTACAATGTGCTTGTCTCCACAACCATTGGAGAGGAGGGGCTGGATATATCCCAGGTGGGTGGGTGTGGGTTGTGCATTGCGGATGCAATGCCACTTCTTATCGCCCCTACCACACTATTGGTGGCTGAAAGATTTGGTGGAATCTTCGCTGTTGGTTTGGCATATCCCTGGTGGGTTGAAACTAAAGGTGATCTGTGCGGCGTTGTATTCTCACTTCACTTCGTCTCCTGAACATCTCGACCCCGCCCCACTGATCCCTTTTCCCTTGCCATCTCCCCTATCTCTTGGTTCCCTGCCATCCCACTAACACCAGGTGGATCTGGTGGTCTGCTTCGATGCAGTCTCTGTGTTGCGCATGACTCAGCGCATGGGGCGCACTGGTCGCAGCAGGGACGGCAAAGTGGATATCCTCCTCACCACCACTCCTCACTGCTCCCCACCACTCCTCGCATTTCCTTCGCATTTCCCTCCGTTTCTTGCACTGCACCCCTTGCCGCAAGCACATGCCTGGTTTACTTAACTTTCCACCTCCCTTCCCTGCGCATTCCTCCTGCTCTTTCTTTCGTCTCCTCTCCTTCTCTCCCTTCCCACCGCCCCGTTCCCCTCTCCCGCCTTCGGGCCCCCACTCTTTCATCATTGCTGTATGCTACATTACCTTGCCTGTTTTGTTGCATCCTTCCACCGACCACTGGTCCTAGCCACGGAGGGGTGGGAGATTGAGCGGTTCAACGCCAAGCGCAAGGCCAATCGAGCTCTTTCCAGGAACCTTCGCACCGCGCATACGTCAGGGGTGCTTCGCTTTCACGACAGCTTGCGAATGGTGTGTACCGTGTGCCATGTGCCGTGTGCCGTGTGCCATGTGCCGTGTGCCGTGTGCCATGTGCCGTGTGCCATGTGCCGTGTGCCATGTGTTATTCGCTGTATTGTACGTGCCATGTGCTGCGTGCTTCGCTTTCATGACACCCTGCGAATGGTGCGTGCCGTGGTCCATGTGCCGTGCGTTAATCTTGATGTGCTATGTGCCATGTGCCATGTGCAGCAGTTCTGTGCGCTGTGTGTTAGGTGCTTGTGCCATGTGCCATGTGCCATGTGCCATGTGCCATGTGCCATGTGCCATGTGCTGTGTATTGTGTAGCCTCCTCATCCCCATCCGTTGCTACTTTACCTGTTCCGTTCCCCACTCTCCCATGCCTACACCAGCTGCCTCATCGCCTGCCAAAGCCCACCGTTGCCATCGTCAACATCCAGCTGTGATCTGAGTCGACTCGACGATTTAATCCTGTACCCACTTCATCCCTTACAGTTGCTTCTTCAACCTGTCCCCCCTTTCTCCCAACCCCACCAGCTGCCTCATCGCCTGCCAAAGCCCACCGTTGCCATCGTCAACATCCAGCCGCCCGCCTTCAGCCCGCCTCGCTCCAAGCGACGCCGCCCCTCGTCGTCCCCAGCCTCGCTCGATCCCTCCACCAAGAAAGCCCGGGGGAAGAGAATGAGTGGAGTAAGATCAGCATCAGCATCAGCTTGCCCCATTCCAGTGACCCAGCTTCTGCAGGCTGAATCAGATGCTCTTTCCCGGTATCCCTCCCTGCTGAAGCTTATCCAGCCTGCTGCTAACCGGCTAGCTGGCAGTTCTGGTGGCGGGGAGGGGATGAGGTGGAAGCCTTTTGGGACGTCTCAACAGCAGGCTGCTAACCGGCTTGGTGGCGGTTCTGGTGGCGGGGAGGAGGCGAGATGGAAGCCTAGCCTTACGGGGTTCTTGTCGGCGCAGACGCAGCGAATGAGGACGTGCCAGGTGGCGCATTCCGATAGGTCGGAGCGGATGTTGGTGGGGGCACTGAGGATACTGCAGGGGATGGGAAACGATGTGGGTTTGGGAAGGGATGGGGGGGCGGGAGGGGACGAGGGAACAGGAGCGGGAATGGGTGCAGGGATGGGAGGTAGCCTGGGGACAGGAGTGCAGGTGGGGGATGATGGTTGGAATTCGTTGAAAGGAGTGAATGTGGGAGCAAGGGGATTTCAGGTGAGGGCAGACTGCAAATTGGGTGGAGCACCGTCGTTGCCCATGAGAGGAGGGCTTGAGTTGAAGCAGCAGGGCAGCGGAAGGAGGGGTGGTGTTGGAGCGAGCGTTGGAGAGGGTAGAGGCAGTGAGAAAGAGACGAGGGAGCACAAGGGAGGAGGGCAGGAGGGTGGTGAGCAGGAGAATAGTGCTGGGGAGAGTTGTGCGTTGGACCGGGACAGTGGGGATGGTGGGGATGGTGGGCATTGTGCGGTTGGTAGGGGTGGTGGGCATTGTGATGAGGTGGAGGGTGGTGAGAGGGAGGAGGATGGGTACGTGGGGTTGGAGGAGTATGAAGAGCCAACGATCTGGAGGTACGTTGAGGGGGAGGAGGAGGGTGGTGAAGGCTTGGAACTCCAGGATCGGGCGGGGCGAGTGGATGGGAGGGCCGGGAATGCCCATGTTATGGGTATGTGGAGGGATAGCAATGCACGGATGGTTTTTAAGGCGCCTCAAAAAATGAATGGGAGGGCCGGGAATGCCCATGTTATGGGTATGAGGAGGGAAAACGATGCACGGATGGATACGGTTGTGCAGAAGGATAGGTGCAGGGGGTTTGATGTGGGCAGTGGCATGGAATGCTTGAGAGGAATGGGAGTGGAGGGAGGTGTGAGGGGGGCTGAATCAGGACCGTTGGGGCAAAAGGGTGTGTCTGCAGGTGGTGGTGCGGTTGGTTTGGAGGCAACTTGGAGACGAATGGGATTGGAGGGAGGTGTTGGGGCGGCTGAATCTGGACCGTTCAAGGAGAAGGGTTTGCACGCAGCGGGTGGTGATGGTGGCGGTGGTGGCGGCGGGGGTGGTGGTGCTGATGCTGGTGCTGGTGGTTGTGGCGGTGCTGGTGGTGCTGCTGGTGGTGCTGCTGGTGGTGCTGCTGGTGGTGCTGCTGCTGGTGGTGCTGCTGGTGGTGCTGCTGCTGGTGGTGCTGCCGGTGGTGGTGCTGCCGGTGGTGCTGCTTGCGGTGGTGGGGATGCATTCGATCCCATTCTTCTGTCGGACGAGGTGAGTGATGGCGCTGCAAGCCGGACGAGTGGCAGCGTGAGAGGAGCTTCCACAACAACAGAAGCCGCAGCGGCAGAAGCAGCAGCAGCAGCAGAAGTATCAGTATCAGCAGCAGCAGCAGCAGCAGCAGCAGCAGCAGCAGCAGCAGCAGCAGCAGCAGCAGCAGCAGCAGCAGCAGCAGCAGCAGCAGCAGCAGCAGCAGCAGCAGCAGCAGCAGCAGCAGCAGCAGCAGCAGCAGCAGCAGCAGCAGCAGCAGCAGCAGCAGCAGCAGCAGCAGCAGCAGCAGCAGCAGCAGCAGCAGCAGCAGCAGCAGCAGCAGCAGCAGCAGCAGCAGCAGCAGCAGCAGCAGCAGCAGCAGGAGCTGAAGCAGCTGATTTGTGCATTGCAGAACAAGGCAGAGCACATGGTTCAGGGGTGAAGAGGAGGGGGAATGCGGTTCACGAGCCTTATGGTGAGGTGCGGGGGCCAGGCTCAAAGAGCGGGGAGGAGGGCGTGTGTGCAGCAGAGCAGAATGACACGAAAGCAGCTGGAGGAAGGAAGCCCTGCGATTTTAGCTGGGACTGGCAGGGGGGCAGTGCAGTGGGGAGAGCAGAGAGCAGCAGCAGGCTTGCGTGGGCTGTTAGGCCCTGCCGTCAGCAGCAGCAGCAGCAGCAGCAGCAGCAGCAGCAGAGATCTGATGTGAATGCTTCTGGTGGGAGTATGAAGGGCAGCGTAGGTGGTGTAGTTGCGGTTGGGGGTAGATGGGCTGATGGGGACAGGCAACTGCCGTGGTCTTCACGACCAGCACCATCAGTACCAGCATCACCATCAGCAGAACCATCATCACCACTAGCACCACTGCCAACACCACCAGCACCAACAGCACCAGCAGCACTGCCACCAGCACCTCCATCCCGACACTCGCCAGTAGTAGTGGCAGCAGCAGCAATGCCATCCCTACCACAGGCATCAGCACAGCTACGACAGCCACTACCACAGATGCGATCAGAAGTTGATAAAGATGGCGATGGTGAGGGAGAGGGAGAGCAGGGGGGAGAAGGGAGAAACGATCAGCCACAGCCACAGAAGCAATCGGCGGCTAACGAGAGCGATTGTGATGGCAATGGTGACAGTGAGGGAGATCGAGAGGGAGAGGGAGAGCAGGGGAGAAGCGGGAATGTGGGAGGTGGAAGGAGGAGGCAGAGGAGAAGGCAGATGGTGGTGATGACACAGGAGGGTGAGGAGGAAGAGGGAAGTGGCGCTGGTCGTGGTGGTGGTGATGGTGATGGTGGTGCTGGTGGTTGTGATGACTGGGATTCGCACAGAGAAAGCATGGCTGGGCCTGATCCATTGAGAGGAGAGAAAGGTGTGATGGAAACGAAGGGCGCACAAGAGGAGACGCTCAGCTCGCCTCAGCAGCGCTCAAGAACCCTCAAGAGGCTACGGAGAGGGCCGCAGGCAGGCGGCAGTGATGGCTGCATGGGAAGTGGAGGCGGCAGGGGTGGCGGCAACAGGGGCAGTGATGGTGGGGGTAGGGGCGGTAGCGAAGCAAGTGGCACGGAGAGGAGTGGCGGTGGTGGGGAGGACAGCCGAGGGGCCAAGGGAGGAAGGCGCAGGAGTGCTGTGGGTGCGAGCAGCAGCAGTACTATTGGTGGAAGGGGCGGGAGAGGGAGAAGCAAGGCGATGGCTCGAAGGGTGCTGGACTTCATTGATGAAGAGGCTGAGTGAGTGCGGTGCTGTGTGGTTCTGTGCTGTGCTGTGCTGTGCTGTGCTGTGCTGTGCTGTGCTATGAGGTGCTGCGAGGTGCCATGAGGTGATGTGCTGCCCAGTGAAGCAGGCAACATTCTCTAGTGCAATCAACCAGTGACCTATTAACCCACTTCTTTGAACCTTGTCGCACTCACTTTAGTTCGCTCTCCCCCCGTACTTTTATCATCCTTTATAGCACTCTGTAACTCTTTAAATTCCGGCAGTGTCTCTGTTCTTTTCTGTGGCAGGGAGTCGGACCGTGATGCCACACAGGAAGGCCAAGAGGATGCTGACGTGGCATGGGTGGATGATGACATGGCGGATTTCATCGTCAGCAGGGTGGAGGGAGAGGGGAGCGGGGATTTAGGAGAGGAAGAGGAGGAGGAGGAGGATGAGGGGGAGGAGGAGGGAGAGGAAGATGAGAGGGAAGAGAGTGGGGAGGAAGATGATGAAATCGAGGAAGTGGAGGATGACGACGAGGAGGAGAGAGAGGGAGAAGGGGAGGGCAGTGCGGGGAGGCGTGGAGGGCCTATGGTGACGGAGAGGAGCATGCAGCACATTTACCGGTGAGTTGGGGCCCTTAGCTTGGCGTGAAGTGGCTGATTGGTGCAGGGATGAAGTTGTTGCTTTTTTCGTCGCATCCTCTTACATTCTTTCGCTCTCTTTCATCTGAATCACTCACTTCTCCTCCTCATGCCCCTGCAACACTCGTTTCTCTCCAACCCCTCCCCATTTCTCCCCTCCCTCCCCAACACCCCCCCGCCCCACCTCCCTGCCCCTCATGCCTCTCCACCAGGGCGTCACTGCTGAGCCAGCTACCCATGGACCACTTCCCCCCACCACCACGACGCCGAAAGCACAAACAATCCAGAACGACCGACCACGTGCAGCCAGCAGATCATCTGAAGCCCACTGCACAGCCCAGCAGCAACAGAGGCACAGCCACACCCTTTGACTGCCATGCCCCAGCCTCAGCAGCCATCCCAGCCTCTTCTCCCCACTCCTCCAACACCTCTTCCCCGCACTCCCCCACTGCCTCTCCCCACCCCACTCCCAGCCCTCCATCCCCCCGCCGCTCTCTCCTGCCGCAATTTGCCTCATCCCCTCTTGGACTTGCCGCCCGCAACGCCAATAAGATGCGAGTCCTGCCGCCCAGAAGAGGTTCTGTGCCGCCCAGCACACACTCGATGCCGCCCTGTGCGGATGGTTCTGTGGCCCGTAATCATTCACTGCCGCCCATTGCGCCGTCCAGTTCACACTCTATGCAGCCCGGGTGGCATGAAGCGGATGCGAAGGAGGGAATGGTGGGCGGCAGGGAGCTGGCAGAAGAGTGGAGCAGCCATGGTATGCAGCATACCAATTCCCATGCACGTGACAATAGTAAGGGTGAATGCGAAGGTGACAATGATGAGGCTGTTCGTCGATGTGGCACTAACACGCGGGAGCTTGGATGTGATAGAAACGAGGGTGAGCGCGCATGTGAGGGTGACGAGGAGGATATATTCGAGGGGATCGATCTGGACGCTCTGGAGGCAGAGGCATGGGCGAGCAGAAGCAGAGCTGGAGGGGGAGGAGGCGTGAGTGGGGTAGGAGGAGGAGGAGGAAGAGATGGACGGATGAGTGAGTGTGCAGCAACTTCTTCTTCAACAGCAGGGCCTTCCTCCCAACACTCGCCACTAGCAGCAGCAGCAGCAGCAGCAGCAGCAGCTGGTGCTGGTGCTTGTGCTTCCCCAGCATTCCCAGCCAACCCTGGACATGCTCCTGCCTCTCTTCCAACACCAACACCCGCCGCCTCCTCCGCACAACCCCACGCAGCGCTCCCTGGTGCATCACACACACCTACCCCTGGAATAACTCCCTCCCATCCAGTTGCTACCTCGACAACACAAGGAGCTCAGGCCAAGGACGGCTGGCCTAAGGCGGGTTTTTGCAATGATTGTATTGAAACTGTTGATGATTTCCAGTGCTTCGGTGTGGATGAGGTGTTTGGGGGCATTGATCTTGATGCTTTGGAGGCGGAAGCGTTGCAGAAGAGCCAGCAGAAGAAACAGCGGGCTTCAGCTTGTGAGGAGCCTGACAATGAGGTGTTTGGGGGCATTGATCTTGATGTGTTGGAGGAGGAAGCGTTGCAGCAGAGCCAGCGCAAGAAGCAGTGGGTGGCGGCGAGTGAGGGGATGGTGAAGGGGAGGGAAGTGGTGGTGGAAGGGGGTGGTGGGGCTGGAGTGGAAGGCAAATCGCCGTTGTCCCCGCAGTGGTGTGCTTGGTGATTGTTTCGCAGTTACATTCTTGGTGTACATTCTTTTATTTCATTGTTAACTGATCTGCAAACTCGTGTCGTTATTGCAGTGGTCTTATGTGAATATTCGCATGTCGAGCATGATTATCATCCCGTGCAACATATGGTACAGTTCGTCTTAGGGCGTGGAAAGCTGTAGCAGAAGGCTTTGTTGTCCATTGCTGAATTAGGGAGGGTATATTGGTGAGACGAGAAGACAACTAGATTTTGCACATAAACTTCTACGATATTGGACTTTCTAAACATTGTTTTCTGTGGGCCGCAATGCGGAACTCATTGCCGCGAATGAACCATGAGGCTTTTGGAAGTGCGTTGAGGGGCGATGTTCGGCAGCGACATGGGGGAATGGGATGGTAGCATCATCGTCAAGCACAACGAAATCAACGCGACTTGTGTGATTGGTCGAAGTAATAGATTGCCTGGTTTGGCTTTTAGGCCCGTTCGGCGTTTCCTGTCCCGACCGAGAAGGCCTCCTACAATTGATGCCTGTTTGAGCCCCTCCCGGTTGCCTTGTGAACGGGGCATATAAGCTCTAACGAGAATTTCGCATAAGTTTCGTCAATTCGCAGCTAGCTAAAAAGGATTCGCAGGGGCTTATAAACAAGATCTGTTACCTTATTTGACTTCAGTCTCTTCTGCTTGACCTCGGTCTGTTCGTTACTATTGGTTGATAACCACGCGACGCGCTTATAACGTGGGAGCAACAGGCTGGGGAAACAACCTCGGGTGCAGCGTTTCCATCTGGCGCAAGGCAAATCCGCTTGCACTGGTTGGGCATCAATTGTACTTTCTCCGATTGCTGTTTCGCTCTTACGACCACATTAACAGTGCCAGGCGGTTGCTGCAGCTCTCTTGGTCGTACACGTGGCACGCAGATCGCGAATGGCGGCATCGCCTGGACCGAACGACGATGAAGCTTCAGGGGGTTGTAACCGCGGAGAGGAGGCGGAAACGAATCCTGAGACGCCACAAAACGCGTCAGGCGTTGATAGTATTGGGGGAGAAGAAGCGGTAACGAGGTTTGCAAAAAAACAAAATGCACCAGGTGGCAGAGGGGGAGAGGAGGCGGAAACGAGGTCTACGACAGGGGGAAATGCGGCGCCAGGGGGAAATGGGGAAGAGGAGGTGGGACAATGGAAGGAGAAAACTCTTAGTCTTGAAAAGACGGTAGCAGTGCTGCAAGCTAGGGTACAGGAGTTGGAGAGAGCAGTGGAGAAGGAGCGGAAGGAGCGCGCGGCGGAGCGGACAGGGCGGATCCGCGCGGAGCAGCAGCTGCGCAGCCGCCTCCTCGCCCCAGCCGCCGCTGAGCCCGAGTCGCCTGTGCGCGCGCACGGCGCGCTCGCTGCCGAATTGCCTGAGGAAGGCGGCGCGCACGGCGATGCACGCGACGGCGGGCATAGCGATGGGCATGGCGACGGCAATAGCGTTTCAGAGAGTGACGCTAGAGACCAGTCAGAGGGCTGTGACGTGGCAGTGACTCAGCATGGGCGTCAGTCTACAGGGGAACAGCACGGGCAGGAAGAGCACGGGCACGGGAGTGTTGGGCTCACCACGTATCCTATGACTCCCATTGGCGTTATCCGCTCCTGCTTCTCTGCCAGGTGGGTGGATTGAATTGAAACTCACATGCTGCTCTAGGCTACTTCACATGGCCGGTGAATTTTCTCTTCTCCTCCTCCTCCTCCCCTCTCACCCTCTCCCATGCGTCTCCTGTTGGCGTTATCTGCTCCTGCTCCTCCCACCCTCCTCCACCGCTCTGCACCGCATGCAGGAACGGCACGCCACGTCAGCCGCTGCTCGTGCCAGCAGCGCGGGCCTATCTGGAGCTGCCACGTGGAGGGGTGGCGCCGGCAGCACTGCAGGGATTGGAGGGGTACTCGCACTGCTGGCTGCTCTACGTCTTCCACGCCAACACGGACATTCAGCGTCTCTGGTCCGACCCCCACTACCGCAAGTTCCGTGCCAAGGTTAGTATATAGGGTTTCAGGCCTGCTGGTCTGATCCTCACCCTTCGGGTGTAGGGTGAGATGGTGTCTGGATGGGGCGATTGGATTGGAGGGGTACTCGCACTGCTGGCTGCTCTACGTGTTCCTTTGTTTCCATTTCAACGCCATCACCTGCCGAATGCTCATACTTGCCACCACCCATCCAGGTTCGAGTGCCGAGGCTGCAGGGGGGTAAGCTGGGAGCGCTGGCGACGCGCACACCGCACCGCCCAGTGCCCATCGGGCTGAGCATCGCCAAGGTGGAGCGTGTGGAGGGGCGGCGGGTGTTTCTGTCGGGTGCTGACTTGGTCGATGGCACGGTGAGTGGTAATGTGAAAATCTGGTTCTGTAGAGCTATCAAACACCGCCATTCTGGTTGCACCGGCCGGTGCCCATCGGGCTGAGCATCGCCAGGGTGGAGCGCGTGGAGGGGCGACGGGTGTTGCTGTCGGGTGCTGACATTGTTGATGGCACAGTGAGTGGCTGTACGAATTTGCAGTTGGTTGTACTTATGAGTTATCAAACACCAGCATACTGATACTGGTCGCATCGGCCGGTGCCCACTGACCGGCCGGCCGGCCGGCCGGGCTGGGCATTGCCAGGGTGGAGAGTGTGGAGGGGCGGCGGTTACTGCTATCCGGAGCTGACTGAATTGATGGCACGGTGAGTGGCTGTACTGAGTCGAAAAGAATGTGATTTCTCTTGTGTGGGTCCATGAAATGGCTTATGATTTCAGGCTGTTTCTGAGAAATTTTAAGAGCGTGCGTGCCTCACATGCACAGGGATTCCCCCCCTCTTCTTCATTCCCCTTCCTGACCCCGCACCACAGCCCATGTTGGATATCAAGCCTTATCTGCCCTACTCGGACGCCTTGCCATCTGCCACGGTGCCACGTTGGGTGGAGGTGAGTCGGCATGGGTACACGTGATGCGAGTATCATGTGTCATCAGTGAGTGCATTGCATGCATGATTTTTGTCGTGTACCTGTATGCACTCGCACATAAAACCCATCCTACCCTTCCCCTCTTCCGTTCACATTCCCCCTCGTTCTCCCACCAGCCATCAGGAGAGGGCGATGGCATGCACATGGCATCTGTCACCTTCCATCCCGCCGTCTCCATCCACTTCCTTCTCCCCTTCCCAACCCCTCCCCCATCTCCCACCACTCCCCCCCATTCTCCCCACCAGCCATCAGGAGAGGGCGATGGCATGCACATGGCATCTGTCACCTTCCATTCCGCCGTCTCCACACAGCTTCAAGATGCGTGGTCGTCGCAGGTGCACCTTGTTGTGCGGCTTTTTCTTCTGTCGCGTTTCTTCTCCTTCTCTTTCCCTTCTCCCCCTTCCCCCCTTCTCTCCCGCTCATTCTCTCCCCCTTCCCCCCCTTCTCTCCCGCTCATTCTCTCCCCCTTCCCCCCTTCTCTCCCGCTCATTCTCTCCCCCTTCCCCCCTTCTCTCCCGCTCATTCTCTCCCCCTTCCCCCCTTCTCTCCCGCTCATTCTCTCCCCCTTTCCCACCTCTCCCGTTCCTAAACTCTGCCTTCCGTCCCCTCCCTCCAGAGCCACCGTTCGTTATACTCACACCCTGATGAGCTGCAGGAGCTGTGCCGGCAAGTGCTGACGCGAGACATTCGGTCTGCCTCCCATCAGAAGTCAAGAATGGATCCCTCGAGCACAGGAATGAGTTCACATTCTTCTGGGCATGGCATCACAAATCCTGAGCATGAAAGCACCCTTTCTGAGTCCACTCAAAAGTCCAAACTCGAGCTACCTAGCATGCCAGCAGGGGCTGAGAGTGCAGCAGTTACTGTACCTTGTAACGCAGGATTTCACGACGTGGCACAAGTGGCGTCAGTTTCAAGCTACGACCCCTCGGAGGATCGAAATGGAGAAGCTAAACCTGTGGGGGGTGCTGATTCGGCAAGCCTAGTGTACCATGTGATTTTGGATGGAATAGATTTCAGTTATGTTGTTTTGGACGGCAACCATGTTGTGGTTGAGGGGGCGAGACCTTCTCCTTGAAATATGTATGTTGATCCTGTTAGGGTATCATGTGCAAGATTCGGGCCATCAACCTCTGAAAAAATGTGAGGGTGATGGTAAATCACGGGTCTAGTGATCCCAAAAGTTTAGGGTTTAGGAATCCCGATGTGATCTGCTCTGCATCCTGACCGTTTTTCTCGAGACTGCTTAAAACGCATACGTCGTTCCACAAGGTACGGTCCGGTGGTTGTTACATCAAATGCGTTTGAACGCGATGTGAATGGGGTTTGTGCAATCTGCAACCATACCCTCTGCGATCACCCCTGCTTATCATGCAGGGTGCTTCTGTCGCTTAGCGACGTCGACGACAGATACGAGCCAACCTATGGCCAGCACTTGGATTCGCGTCGCGAGAGTCGCCGCCGAAAAAGCCGAGGTCTTAGAAATCCATGTTCCCCCACGTCGTCCATGCATTATTGCCGTCGGATTAGGTCCTTTCGCATGTTTTCGTCATCTCGAACCAATCCAAGGGTTTGCCAGCACAAGGTGGTTACGCCAGCAACCCCCGATGAAATCCACAAACCCAATGGGAGGAGCGCAGCGCGGGAATTGAGGAGCAATTCCCAATAACATTTTCGAATCATCCTTCAAGAAGCATGAGAAATATACCAACGCCAACTATTTTATCCATATTTCATCCGAATCCAGTAGTCGCCATCTGTGTCAGCTGCAACGAATTTATCCGAAGCCATGTCGATCAGCAACGCTGCAGCCGTCGCGGCTAGTACTACCTACTCCGAGGGTGCCGCAAGATTTGCTCTCTCGCGTCGGAAACTTAGACCCGCATTGATTGGATGGCCCACCAAGAGCGCGATTCGGACAGGTAGTAGATAATGTTCTCAGTCAACGATTCCCATTCACCTTCCAGTGCACAACAAAAAATATGTACTATCGTCAGATTATTATTAACCTCGAATCTGCACAGTCGGATTCTCCTGTATTGATTCATGTTTTTTGTTTCTCCCTCTGATCCTTCCAACATTCTCGGCTCAGGTAGACATGGCGTATCACCTGCTGTACCGGTGTGCTGCTCCGCGAACCCGCACACCGGCCCGTCCACGTCAGCACCTACCACGTCGGCATCAACCATGACATCTGACGACGGAGAAGCGGCTGCGTTCCGGCAGATGAGTCCAGAGGAGCATTGGTGGTGGGGCACCCCTGAATACCTCATGGGTAACTGGCACGGCCAATGGCGATCTTGGAAGCCGATGCAATCAACGGACGAGATCAGATCCATGAAGTCTGTGCGGAAATTGTGGGCCACGTCACCAGACCTCACCAGCATCGCCCACATGGTGAGTTTTGAAATCTCTCATTGGTCGGTTTTGAGCCCACACGGTGGGTTTTGAGAATTCTCGAGACCGCCGACCTCCAAAATATACGGGCCACGCCCTCATGATGATTTTTGAGTCGACTCAAAAGTCAGCTCGGAATTCTCAATATCGGTGACTAACAAAACATATGGGCCACGCCCTCATGATGATTCAGAGAGTTTCCCCCTCCCTCTTCCCTTTCCCCCCACTACCCCCCTCGGACAATCCGCACTCTCGCCAATCCCTCCCAGCGTCTCGCCTCCCAGCGCCTCGCCTCCTCCCCCTTCTCTGCTCTGCCCTTGTTCTCTCCTTGTTTCCCGCCTCTCTCCCGCCTCTCTGCCGCCACTCCTGCGCGGCACCACTACCGTCCCCACCCCACTCATGTCAAATCACTCCCCGCCCCTCGACCACCCTCCAACGACTGCAATGACCACCATGGCCATTGGCCAAGTTCCAAGCAGCCCTCCCAAGGCGCGCGTGCAGTGGGACTCGTGTCCCTTAAAATTTTGCCGTTTGAGTCAACTCATCTTATACTCTCACCCCCACCACCCCTTCCCCTCCCCTCCTCTCCCCTCCTCTCCCCTTCCCTCCCCTCCCCTCCCCCCCCCCCCCCCCCCCATCCCGGCTCCTCCCCTCCTATCTCCGCCCCTACCCTCCCGTCCCCGCCCCTCCCCTCCCATCCCCGCCCCTCCCCTCCCATCCCCACCCCTCCCATCTCCGCCCCTCCCATCCCCTCCCCACACCTCCCATCCCCACCCCTCCCATCTCCGCCCCTCCCATCCCCTCCCCTCACCTCCCATCCCCTCCCCTCCCATCTCGACGCTCCCTCAGAACGACTGGTACGACCGCCAGGGCGACGTTTCCCCGCAGGCCACCAACGTGGGCGTGCAATGGGACATGTCACTCGCGGAGCACAGCCTGCCAGACGGCTTCTGCCACGTGGCAGCCAGCAACTCGCGCCGCTTCACCGTCAGCAGGAAGGCGGACGGGATTTGGACGCCTCTGGAGGTGGCAGATGGGGTGGGCGGCATCAAGCTTCCGTTTTTGGTCGAATTCTTCTTCTCGCACTGTGAGCGCTCCTTGCTGCTGGTACAACCTCTCAAGTAGACACCTACCAGGCAGGTGCATCTAATCTGGAGGTGGGGGATGGTGCTGGCAGCATCAAGCTGCCTTTCCTGGAGGAGTTCTTCGTCTCCCACAGTGAGTGGTCCTTGCTGATGGTGCAGCCTCCCAACTAGCCTCTTAGCAGGAAGGCGGACGGGATCTGGGGGCCTCTGGAAGTTTCAGATGGGGAAGGGGGCATCAAGCTGCCATTTTCTGGAGGAGTTCTTCTTCTCCCACAGTGCGTGCTCCTTGCTGCCAAACACCAACCAAATGAATCCCACAGAAGCTGAATCTCTACTCGTGTGCCTTTGGCCGACATCTGGCCGCCTCTGATGGGGCGGGGCGGGGAGCATCAAGCTGCCTTTCTTTCTTAGTCGAGTTCTTCTCGCAGTGACTCACTGTGGCGTTAGTGACTACTCTCCCTTCAGGGCGTATTCTTCCTTGGCCACAGTGAGTTCTTTTCTGGTTCTTTTTTAACAAGAAGGCACACTGCTTTCTCACGTTGTCCTGTCTTTTGTCACAGTGTTATCTATTCACCACAGTTAGTCTCGTTGGTCTGTCTTGTTGGTTGCCATTCCTGTGTGTTTCCCGTTTTCTGGATTTGGTCTGTTTCCCTGCTTTTTTCCTCTACCCTTTGTTTTACATATGAAATCGCAATTCGATGTACCTTCTTTCGGAGTTGACAACGACGGACCACGCTGCCGGAGAGTTCGATTCTGAACATGACCGACTAAATCGCAATTAAAAAAACAATCCGAGTTCTTACTCACATTAAAATATTTTGAGTGTTCATTCATTCTGATGGATATATTCTCCCCATTCACAGTCTCTTCTGCTTCCTTTTCCCCTCCAGCCCCCACGTCTCGTCTCGGCACCATGGTTGGATTCGAGTCCGACGGAGCTTTCCGGGTATCAGTGGTGGTTGAGGAGTCGCTAGACACCAACGAACGCCGCCCCACGGACTGGGTCTGGCCCACGTGGGGCCCGGGCGGCGTCCCGTCCCATCTGCCCGACCACCTGCCGCCCCTTCCGGCACTAGATGACAAAACAGTGGTGGGAACTCGCACCACTCTGACTCGCAACCTGATGGTTCAGGAGCGGGAGAACGTGTCCTGGGCGGAAGAATGGAGCCCTAAAAGCTCTGCCGCTTCTGCAGCCATTGCAACAGCAGCAGCAGCGGGAAATAGTGGTGAAGCATCCTCGGCTGGAGGAGGTGCACCAGAAGCAACAACAGCAGCGGCAGCGGCTGGGTTCATGGGCCGAGTGCCACAAGGCGATGAGGAGCGGTATGCGGTGTTTGCTCTGCCCCACGGGGTGGTGGTGTGCGCCCCGCGCTCGCTACAGCTGGTGGCAGGGAGGCCGTTTGTGCTGTCAGTGTCGTGGTTGGTGGGAGAGGTGGGCGAGGGGGTTGCGGGTGCAGGGGAGGTGAAGCGGATCACTGCCTCTTGGGGGGCTGATGGGGGCTTTGAGCGGATAGAGGGGGAGTGGTACAGGAGAGAGGCATGAAAGGGAGATGGTGCAAGGGAGATGCTTAACACGGAGTGGGGCAGGAGAAGATAGAGGTGAGGTGAAGGAGAGGAGAAGAGTATTTGAGGGTGGTTGGATTCAGGGCTAATTTTTTGTTTTTTGCCAACCCTTATGATCAGTGTTGCACATGTTCAAAATGTCAAATTATATGCATGCTACATATGTTTAGGTTGTAGTGGGGTAGCCAATATGGGGTACAACCCCTCTTAGGGTTTCATACTGCATTCATCCTTGCTACTAGATTCTAACATGGTTTCATAGCACTAGGTCCGTAGGACCGTCCTTTTTTCCGGGCCCACCTACCGTTGCGGTTACCGCGCTACCCCACGTGTTGTCCTGCGCGTGCCTTCCCCTGCCTTGCCTCGTGACGTGCTGCGCTGCGCGCGCCGTCCTGCAGCCCTCGCGCTGCCTACTGTTGCCCTAGCTACGCGCGACCCCGCGCTGCAGACCCGTAAGGCCAGCGCGCTGCCCCTGCAGGCCCGTAAGGCCAGCGCGTCGCCCCTGCATGCCCGTAAGGCCCTTGCGCCGCCCCTGCAGGCCCGTCAGGCCAGAGCGCCGCCCCGCCCTGCAGCCGACACGGCCCCGCCCTGCCGCCGACGCGACCCCGCCCTGCTGCTGACGCGGCCCCGCCCTGCTGCCGACGCGGCCCCGCCCTGCCGCCGACGCGACCTCGCCCTGCCGCTGTCGCGGCCCCGCCCTGCCGCCGACGCGGCCCCGCCCTGCCGCCGACGCGGCCCTGCCCTGCCGCTGTCGCAGCCCCGCCCTGCCGCGAACGTGGCCCTGCCATGCCGCCGACGCAGCCCTGCCTTGCCGCTGTCGCGGCCCCGCCCTGCCGCGAACGCGGCCCCGCCCTGCCGCCGACGCGGCCCCGCCCTACCACTGTCGCGACCCCGCCCTGCTGCCGACGCGGCCCCGCCGCTGCCGCTGTCGCGGCCCCGCCCTGCCGCTGTCGTTGTCGGTGCAGCGCCTTCGTAGCATGCATCGCCGTGTCCTTGTCTCTGGTCTTCCCAGGGTTCTCCCTCCCCTCCCACCCTCGCCTGCTCCTCCCTGTCTTCCTTGTGTCGAGGGGCGGCAGCACGCTGCTCCTCACTCCTCCTTGTTTCCCCCGACGAAAGCTCCCCTGCAGACCCTGCACATGGACGTGTGGGGCCTAGCCCGCATCAGTGGGCAGAACTACGAGCGGTACTTCCTGCTGGTTGTTGACGACTACTCGCATTGCACCACGGTCTTCCCCTTGCGCACCAAGGGTGAGGTCCCTGATGTTTTGATCCCTTGGATCCGTGCTGCCCGTCTCCAGCTCCGCGAGCGGTTCGGGACGGAGTTTCCCGTCCTGCGTCTGCACTCTGACAGAGGTGGGGAGTTTTCCTCCGACCTTCTGCAGAGCTTTTGTCGTGGGGAGGGCATTCGCTAGACATTCACGCTTCCAGCCTCTCCGCAGCAGAATGGGGTTGCTGAGCGCCGCATTGGCTTGGTCATGGAGGTCGCTCGTACCTCCATGGTCCATGCGGCTGCCCCCCATTTTCTGTGGCCGTTTGCGGTCCGGTACGCCGTGCATCAGCTCAACCTCTGGCCCCATGTCTCCTTGCCGGAGACCTCACCCACACTGCGGTGGACGGGGGAGGTTGGCGATGCGTCGGTGTTCCGGGTCTGGGATTCTCGTGCCTTTGTCCGCGATACCACCGCGAACAAGTTCTCCGCCCGCGGTGTTCCCTGTGGCTTCCTTGGCTTTGTCCCTGACGCGCCTGGTTGGCAATTTTACCACCCCACCTCGCGCCGTGTCTTCCCCTCTCAGGACGTCACGTTTGACGAGTCTGTTCCCTTTTACCGTCTCTTCCCCTACCGCACTGCCCTTCTCTCCCCCCCCCCCCGCCGCTCTTCCTCGCTCTAGGTGTTCCCCAGGTAGACCCCCTCCCCGCTCTTGGTCCTGCTCCTTCAGGTGTGTCTCAGGTAGACCCTCCTCCCTTAACTGGGCCGGTTGAGGTCTCTGGTAACTCAGGTCTTGCTGAGGGTGGTCCTGCTCGGGGTGCTGCTTTTGGAGGTGCTGAGCCTGGGGGTGCGGAGCCTGGAGGTGTTGAGCTTGGGCGTGAGGAGTCTAGGGGTTCTGAGCCTGGGGGTACTGAGTTTGGGGGTGCTGCACCTGGGGTCGCTGAGGCGTCTGGTGAGCAGTCTCCATGGAGCAGCCGTCTCCGTAGTCGCTCCGCTGGTGCCTCGCCGCTGCACTCTCATCGTCGTCTCCCTCTCTCCCCACAGCAGCTGCGTGAGTGGTACGTTAGCCGTCAGGGTCGAGATGCTGGAGCTGGGGGCCTTGCTGCAGGAGGTGCTGGTGTTGGAGGCACTGGAGCCGGCGCTGTCCCTCTCTCCCCACAGCAGCTGCGTGAGTGGTACGTTAGCCGTCAGGGTCGCGCTGCTGGAGCTAGGGGCCCTGCTGCAGGAGGCGCTGGAGCTGGTGACTCTGCTACTGGAGTTGTTTCTACTGGAGTTCCTGGAGCAGCTGGTCCCGGAGGTGCTCGTACTGGAGATCCTTGAGCTGCTGGGACTGGAGGTCCTGCTCGACCTGGATGTGCTGCTGTCGACTCTGAGGTTGGAGGCCCTGGAGCTGGAGGTGCCGGTTCTGGGGGTGCTACTGCTGGTGGCGCCGGAGCTGGAGGTTCTGGAGCTGCTGCGGGTGCTGGCGCTGGAGATTCTGGAGCTGCTGCGGGTGCTGGCGATGGAGATTCTGGAGCTGTTGGAGGTGCTGGCGTTGGTGGCACTGGAGCTGGAGGTTCTGGAGCTGTAAGGTGTGCTGGCGCTGGAGGTTCTGGAGCTGTTGGAGGTGCTGACGCTGGTGGCGCCGGAGCTGGAGATTCTGGAGCTGCTGTGGATGCTGGCGCTGGAGGTTCTGGAGGTGCAGGAGGTGCTCGAGCTACAGGTGCTGGTGGCACTGCACCGCCGCGATTGTTCTTCGCTCCGCCATCACCTTCGTCTCTGCCACCGCCTGGCTCCGTCCTTCGCCAGGTTCTTAGCCTCCCGTCTTCTACTGGTCTTCCGTTACAGCCTGGCTCACCGCTACCTACTCTTTCTCCTTACACTGAGCTGATAGGCGGTCTTGTTGAGCGTCGTGAGCCTGCGTCTCGTCCTGTCTCGCCTGTTCGCACTGTCCGCACTGGTCATACTGGTCGTTGTATTCCTCGTGAGCGTCCACTGGCTGTCCCCGGCACACACCTCATGGCCCTGCGTACTCCCTCTGCTCCGCAGCGTGTTCCCCTGCCGTCCCCTCCTGTGTCTTCTCTGCCTACCGTTCCTGTGCCTGAGTCTGACCACACCCGTGCTGCTCACACTACTGTTACGCCTCTGCTAGCCACAGTTGTCACTGACCCGTCGTTTGAGTCTGCTGCTGCGTCTGCCTTAGTCGCTGAGCTTATTGACTTTGCTACTGCTTGTCATCTAGACTACGCCGCTAGTCTTGTTGCTGAGTCTGAGTCTTTCTGTCCTTCGTCCATTGGGGGTGAGTGTGCTCTTGGCACGGACGTCCCTGAGGACAAGCAGGAGGACCTTGAGTGTCTTGCAGCCGCTGCGCCTCATCTTGTGGCCATGCTGCTTGCCCTTGAGGGAGACTCGGATGCTCCAGACATCCCGACCCCGCGCTCTTACGCTGAGGCGATCGCGGGTGAGTACTCCTCTGAGTGGCGGACAGCCATGGACGCAGAGATGGCATCCTGGAAGTCCACTGGCACTTACGTCGACGAGGTTCCCCCTCCTTGGGCGAACATCGTCAGTGGCATGTGGATTTTCAGGGTGAAGCGGCCGCCAGGTTCTCCGCCTGTCTTCAAGGCTCGTTACGTTGCTCGAGGCTTCAGCCAACGCGAGGGAGTTGACTTCTTCCAGACCTTCTCCCCCACCTCGAAGATGACCACTCTTTGGGTGCTGCTGCACGTTATCGCTCAGCGTGACTATGAGCTTCACTCTCTTGACTTCAGTACAGCTTTCTTACAGTGCAGCCTGCACGAGGAGATCTGGTTGCGCCGCCCACCTAGCTTCACTGGGTTGTTCCCTCCTGGTACCGAGTGGAGCCTCCGGCGGCCAGTCTACGGTCTCCGCCAGGCGCCGCGTGAGTGGCACGACACACTGAGGATGACACTTCCGGCTCTTGGGTTTGCTCCTTAAACTGTTGACTCGTCTCTGTTTCTGCGCACCGACACTTCGCTGCCGCCGTTCTACATCCTCGTGTACGTCCACGACTTGGTCTTTACCACTGCCGACACTGAGGCTCTCGCCCTGGTGAAGTCGGAGCTACACAAAAGACACACGGGCACAGACCTGGGTGAGCTGCGCAGTTACCTTGGCTTGCAGATCATCCGGGACAGAGCACGCCGCACCATCACACTGACTCAGTCACACATGGTGCAGCAGGTCCTTCACCGCTTAGGCTTCACCTGGTCCTCGGCACTGGCCACTCCTCTGACTACAGGTCACTCGCTCTCAGCTCCACCTTCGGACAAGTCCGTAGAGCCGAGTGGTCCTTACCTAGAGCTAGTGGGCTGCCTCATGTACCTGATGACCTGCACTCGTCCTGAACTTGCGTACCCTCTTGGCCTTCTGGCTCGCTACGTGGCTCCTGGTCGGCACCGAAAGGTGCACATTGATGCTGCTAAGAGGGTACTACGCTACTTGTGCAGTTCATCGGGCATGGGGCTCGTGCTCGGAGGACGGGACGAGTTTGTCCTCACTGGACACTCAGACGCTTCTTGGGTTGACGACCTGGCTACGCAGTGATCGTCACAGGGTTACACCTTCAGTCTTGGCTCTGGCTCTGTTTCTTGGCGGTCTAGACGTTCGTCTTCTGTTCTCGGCTCCAGTTGTGAGGCTGAGATCCACGCCACAGCCATGGCTACACAGGAGTTATGTTGGCTCACCTACTTGCTAACCGACTTGGGAGAGAGGTCTCGTTCTCCTCCAGTTCTGTACATAGGCAACAAGGCCGCGATTGCCTTGTGTCAGGA